CTCGCACACACGTATCATTTTCCAATCCACTCAAAGAACGAAACGAAAGGGGAGAAAAAAAAATCCCAACAATCAACCCGAGTCCGTACGTATAGAGCGCATTTGAGATTGCAAGCCACTCGTCGTGTATAATACACTACAGCTGAAAAATCTCTCTACGGCATAGCAATCCGGTCCCCGGCGTCGCGTATCAGCCGCAACAATGGTTGAAAAAACAAAGGAGACGCAAAAAAAGAGAGAGAGAGAGAGCTGGTATCTATGATACACACGATAAATACACACGCGCTCCTCCCCGTCCGCATATGCTTGGGTGTGCAGCAGATGCACCGACGAAATTCCAGCAGCTCCGGTTCTCCGCCAACTCCACCGTCGTCGAGCTCTCGGTGGCGACCACGTGTGCGTTGCACTCCCTCCTCGTGGGAGAGAGAAAAGCGTGAGAAAGTGGAGCAGCTTCGGGGGAAACAAAGCTGCATCCGACGGCAGGTCAAGATCAGCTGATGCTCTGACGCCAACGGGTATACCGAAAGGGGATATCCCTCAGGACTGAGAGCTTCGAGGCGGTGATTCCCTCCCGAGAGAGGCGCCCGCACGGAAAAGAAGGAAAAAAAAAAAAAAGAAAAAAGAAAAGAGCGCATCATCTCAGAGAGCAGAGGCTTTTCCTCCGGCAGCTGCCGGGCCAACGCTCTGATACCCGCTCTTTTTTTTCCTCGCTCGGCCACTGTAGATATAGGTGGAGGGATCCCACTTGCCGAGGCGTTAATTCCGTCGACCAAGGCCCTACGGCCACTTGAAAGGATATCACCACAGCGCGAACCAGCTCTCCTCGACTGCTTTTAATACCTCCCTCTCCGTCCTGTAGTTCTACCTACACCGAGTACATTATTATATACGCTACCACCCCCTTCTTTGACTCGAGCCGCACACAAGTGCAGTTTTTTTTTTTTTTCTTTTTTCTTGGTACATACGTATTTCTCCATCTTTTTATTTTGTTTCGCGAGTATACTTACGCGGCATCTTGTTTTTGACGCGGCAGCTGTCGTCTGTCGACTAATTGTCGCAACGACAGCCGCGTTTTTTGTGCGCCTCTCGTGTATACTTACAGTGTAACATACATACATACATACATATGTATACCGTTCAACCGGAGAAAAAGAAGAGAGCTATCTCTCTCTTTTGCGGTGGGCCCAAGTGTCTGGTTGGGCTCTCTGGGTTTTGTAAGCCCGCAGCACAAGTGACGACGACCACTGATGGGCTCTCGTGATACACGTGGTGTGTGTATACCTATGGGCATGTTATTATGCGGGATGACGATGGCGAGAGCGTGCCCCGCCTCTTGCGTGTCGTCCACTCAATTTGCACCGAGAGATACCTTGTCTTGCTCGCTTTGACGCGAGAGTTGGGACTTTTTTTGAAAAAAGTGTCTCTCTCTCTCTCTCTCTTATCTTCCCGTCACTCCGAATCAACGTCGTCCACTGGGTTAGCGAGGGAACATAAACTTTCGGCCTGCGTGTTTGAGCTTTGCCTCGTGCACAGGGTCAATTTTTTGAAGCACATGTGTTTATTAAACTCAATGGACAGAACGGTACTACCATTGAATTTTATCGATTATTTGTGAAATGCGATATTTTTGATATTGTGTATGGAAGAATTGTCGCAATTACGTTTGATTAATCTCATTGGTATTGGAAATTCAACGATGAACCCCTCAAACGTATATATATATACACCTGCCCTGTCGATTAATTATTTTACACAAATCTCCAGCAAATCTCTTGATTCCGAATAATTGATTAGTGTGCATGTATGCAAATGAACGATTTATCGATTGTATTTACTACAATATGTACAATAATGTATTTTTCACAAAAAAAAAAAAAAAAAAAAAAAACAACTTTATCGTACGATGCTTGCACGAAACCAGGGTAATTATTTCAATTTAGTCAACATAATAATTTACAAGTGCAATTTCGATTTATTTTAAATCCATACTTATTCGTTGACTGTGTATCCAAACACATTAGCCATTTCAATATTACGATGACGTATCGGGTAGTCGGGCGATCAATCTAATGGTCCTTAAAGTGCTCTCCAGGCTGATTTTGGGGTAAATGTTGTCACTGCGAATTTTCCAACGACAAACAACCTTTTCACAATTTTTATTTATTTTGTTTTTTTCTTACATCAACTCCACTATTTTTTGCCTCTTTCCAACAAGACCAAAAAGAGAAAAAAAATCATCATTATTCCCACTGCATGCAGTACAAATTATCCATTCTTCTATACGAACCCAGAAAGGCTCCATTCCTTCATTCGCCAATAAATCAAGCAGTTGCCAGAAAAATATAAGACGACAGAAAAAAAAACGAAAAGAAAATTTGTATCGTCCTAATTTACCCGAGAAACGTAATCCCCCTTATCCACCGAGCCCCTCTTTCCTGCATTATACTTATACATTTCCCCATCGCCCACCGGCACGCCACCTCATTAGGGAGCCCATCCAGCGTGATTCGAGCTCGGATTGTTCGGCCATTTTCCGGGCAAGCGTCCAAAGCACTGCCATTCCTCTTTTGCCTCCCTTGAAAAACAAAATCCCTGGCGGATCAGCGCCCTCGTCCTCTTCATTTCCAACCTTTTTTTCTATACATCCATCAACCTCCTTCCGCTGTACAACGCATGTACACCCAAAGAGCAGAACTACGACTATATAGGTATACCCATAAGAGAGTTCGTCGAGCCTTCCGGGTGCATCTTTTTTTTTTTTTTTTTTTTTGTCTTACAACCACGATTTTCCCCTCTCCCTCGGCTCAACCCCGTTCTGCACTTGCACCGCGGGTACGTATACATATACCGCTCGACGAGAGTGCTCCTGCATCTCGAGTGGTTCTCGAGAGAAAAGGGGTGGGCTGTGGTGGTCTGGGGTGCAAGGGAACGAGGGATAGGGTAGTTGGTCGCGACGAGGGAAGAAACTTGCCATACGCCCTATACACGAACGAGAGCGGGGGCACTGGTCCTGGGGCCCTTCTTGCTTCATCTTGCCTCGGGCACATACGCGACACGCGCATTAGGGAACGCGCTAGACTAACAGTGTCCACATATACATATATACCTGTGTAGAGCGTCGAGCTCCTCGAAAGCTTGACCTCTCTCCACTTAACAGTCGAGATTCCGGTGACTCCGTTCTAGTGCACCGATGGTACGCTTTATGTAGATACATTGATACTGGGTGACGGGGTTGAAATGCAATTTATCGAAGGATTTTACGTATAACAGGGCTATGGTCGAACTTTGCTCGCTACCGTCTCATATGGGCTCTCGAAAGTTGTGCTTAAAAATCATGACTTCTCGACCGTTCGTTTGTTGTTAACACGTCGACCCCGAACCGAAGCTAAAAGTCAGTCTACGATTCCGTTGGATGCACCTCGAATACCTACTTTTACGAACAAACAAATTCCTCGTGTCCGAGAGTAGCGAGTGACGTGCAAATAAAATATAGTTTTTCCGACTGCGCGCCCGTAAATTTCATAACTGCGACGAATTGGATCCTCGTGTTGTTTTACCACCCGCGCACGAGCCATGTAGCGGAGGATACCGGTCATTTTTACCTCTCGACGGTGGCCGTAGCAGTTTGTCTTTGGCAAACGACAGCTCGTACTGCAGGTACCATGGTACTCTCGGTCGTAATACGTACCTCTCACCGGTGCACGGGGTCAGCTCGTTCCTTATCCTTTTTTTTTTTTTTTTTTTTTTCTTCTTTCAATTTCATTTTATCACGAGCATTAGAGTCAATGCTCCGCTGAGAACCACGCGAGAGTCATTCGTTCACCCCGAAACGATGTGTCTTTCGAAAAAGAAGGAGAGCACATAATACCTGCGAGACGATCGAGTCGCTGAGAGAGGGAGAAAACGCATTCCCTTTAAACGTAGCGAGTTCCTCGGTTCCTTGCTGTACTTACTTCTGTATGTACCCTCCGCTTGGAAGCCTTTTCCCGAAAAGTATTATTGAAGTCTCGGGTCTTTTGATCTCTCTCTCTCTCTCTCTCTCTCTAGCGTCCCTTTCCGAAGCCGTACAAGTCTGGCGTGAACAGTAGAAATGGCCCTCCTCCTCTCTCTATTTACATGTAGTCCCCGAAAGAGAGAGGCTGGCTCCGTACGAGCCCCGAATACCCTGCTCTTTCTCTCCGAGGCGTTTCAACCCTTGTGCGATTCGGTGGTGAGGTTTCGGTGCTCCTGTGCGTTTATATGCGAATGACATTTTGTGCACAGCCAAAGCCGGAAGTACAAAAGCATCACCGAGTGTACACAAATATACGGCTTTGTAACTGTAGATATTCGTGCCCGCGCGGGTGAGCTTTCGGTTTTAATACGGTACAGGTTAACTGATGGGGAGTAGAGGTATTTGTTGACGTGGGTCTACATTACTTGTATTATCTCTCTGCTACCGAGATTTTTTTAACATGGTACGAAGGTTGAGACTTTAAGGCGCTTGAGTGATCGGTCCTTTTCAGGGCAACTGTTTTACTGTTATGATTGCTGTACAATACTTGATTTTGCAACGTATTTCAGTTGATGGTATTTTAAGTAAGGTAATACCAAGTCAATAAAAAGTCAAAACAACAAATGTTTTTTTTTTTTTTTTCGTTGCAAAAACGTGGAAATTCCCTATGCGCTTCTATGCGCGACTATCAACAGTGATACTTATTTTTCCATAAGCGCATATGGAATTTTCGTGTTTTTGCAACGAAAAAAAAAAAAAAACATTTGTTGTTTTGACTTTTAATTGAATTGGTTTTACCTTAATTAACCATCAACTGAAAGACGTTGCAAAATCAAGTATTGTATAGCAATCACAACAGTAAAACAGTTGCCCTGAAAAGGACCGATCACTCAAATTTTCTAAAAGTAATACATTTGTCCTGCAAGATGTTCTTGTATATATTAAATGTACATCGACTGAAACAAAATCACCAAAAGTAAATCTTCCCTCCCGTTTATCGTTGCAGATGTGGCGGCGTCGGTCGAGGTGCACTTCGAGAGCAAGGAAGGTGGCTTCTTCTTGAAACAAGTGCCTCGGCAGTTCTACATGTCGGGGGTGTCTCGCATGGACCTGGCTCCAAGCGGAGGTGCCACCACCTCGTCTACCGCGTCGTCCTCGGCTTCCTCGTCGTCATCGGCCTCGTCCCAGGGCTCGTCGACGCTGTCGGTCGACAAGTTCACCGTCTTCCAGACGAGCGAGCCCGTCTCGGTGCGAGCGACTTACGGGCCCTTCAGCACCAAACAGACCGTGCCCGCGAGGTACATCGTGCCCGATCCCCTGGACGTGCTCCCCGTGCCCGACTTGGATCCCAAGAAGAACAACGCCAGCGGACTCGCCAACTCGGCCCTGCTCGAGGTCCAGGAGCTCGGCGCTCGGCACCTCGACATGTCGGCGCACATCGTGAGTTTACTCTTTTTTTTTTTTTCTTTTTTATCATCGATACGACTCACGAAATTATAGAAAATGTTACTATCGATTCCTCTTTTTCGGAGCATATTACATTATTCTTCCCCCGAACGAGAGCGTTTTATCACGTACATTATCAAAAAACTCCCCGGTACAATATTACATTTTCCCTTTGAACCCTGCTCGCAACGTCATTTTTGAAATACGTTTTTGCTCGCGAAAGCGTTGCCCGTCATTTTTATTGGCAATAAAATTGACTCGACGTTAAATTAAGATTGATAATGTCACAGTGAATATTGATTCATTTTTTTTTTTTTTTTTTTTTACCCCTCAACAAAAAGAGTCTACATATTTCACTCAATTGAGTTTCCTCCACTGGTATATTTATAGCGATGATTAAAACTGATGCACGACCGCGCACAAGTTAAATTGACATCGACTCGCGTCCTACTTTTCCTCTCGGCGTTTCAATTTTATATTTTTGCAATCTTGGAATTGAGTCGAAATGTGGAGAAAAAAAACCTACTTTTGAAATTTCAAGGAATTTCCGTTACAGGGTTTTCTAAAAGCCCAATTGGACGGAAACAGTTTCAAAGCAACGCGAGCACATACTTACGCGTATTTCATCAAATGGAATTTCATAAAAAGGAGCGTTGACTCTTCGACATACTTTCCTGAATGTAAAAAGACGGAGCGCTCCCCGGGAGACGCACACCCATCGACAGCGTACCGCGACTTTTAGTTCAAAAGAGAGAACGTGTTTACGCACATTGAAATCCCATTTCGATCATCGTCGTATTGTACGAGCTTTTGTGCAAACGCGATTGGATATTTCGAAAAGCTCTTGAGTTCCCCGTTACGGTGCTCCAGTATCCGGAATCCAACGGTTGAGAGGTAGGACACGTCAAAGTACACGCGCGAATTAAAACTTTCATATCCCGGAAAATAACGAGGACGTCCTCCTCCCTTGGCTCGCAAACGCGCGGAGATTAAAATTCCAGCTCGAAAACCCGTAGTTGGTTCATTGAAAACGTGAAAAATTACTGGTGCTTAAACTTTTTTTTTTACCTCCCAACTGCCGTCCGAGTGTCACCCTCAAGAGTAAGCTGCTCCAGGATATATCGGAAGACCTAATATGTCCCACCCGCCGGGGCACTGTAATTTCATAAGCGCTCCCGCGAGCTGGCAAAGAGTATACCCGACGAAAGATCAGCAGTAAAAGTCACGTTTGTCCGGAGGAAAAAAAAATTCAACTGCCGGAGCTGTGCGGGTGGGGACATTGGGTAAAAAGAAAAAAAAGAGGCCGTAACTTTTAATCGAAAGGCTTTCCTCTATATTCGAGTGAAAACTTTGGCGGGGCCATTTTTCAAAAAGGCTCTCCCTGGCAAACAAATTTCCTCCTCCCGTCCCAAACTCTCGATGATTTTTTTTCTTCTCACTCATTCAAAAGTCCCCTGCGTGAGCGACGCGAGAGAAAAAAAAAAAAAAAAACATCCCAGAGCGAGAAAAAACTCGGCTCCCTCCGGAGACTCTTATTTAACGCGCGGCTCGCTCTCCCTTTCGCTTTACGCGTCCGAGCGACAGAGGACTACCTATACCTATACTTTGTTCGAGTGGCAATTTCATTCCCTGGTAATTTCGCGAGCGAGAGAGACGGAGGAGGGGGCAATCTTGCTTTATGTAACTTTTAAGAGTATCCGTAAACACTGTACAAAGTTGTATTTCACGTTAGGACGACGGTAGCTTAATCAGCCTCTTGCAGTACAGGGAGAAGGTGTATGTAGAGAAAAAGGAGAACATCGTCACGCTCGAGTGTACGCAAACAAATGTTAAATCTTAATTATACAGAGAATAAGGAAAAAGTAAACGTGTCACCCGATGTATACGCAAGTGGGGCGTTTGTTACCGTCCCACGCAATAACCATAACGGAGCTGTATCCTTATACTTTTTTGGGCCATTCTCATCGTCCGCGTGTACGTGTAGGTACCCATACTTCGTGCACACGTCGCAGTATAAGTTCACCTCCGTCGTTTTCCCACGTTCAATTTAAAGTTCGCGCACAGGAGAGCCATTAATCGCGAAAAGCCTCGGGGCCATACACGAGCCGGCCATGCTATATACCCTTGACTAATATATACTTTTCGGTCCACAAGGCCGCGCGGTATCGCGTCCCTCTGGTACTTATCCCTGAAAAAGCTTCGGCATTCCCGAGACTACTGGGAGCAAAAAAAAAAATACGCTCATTCCCCTTGGTGTCCATGTTGCAGGTGAGCTCGGTGATAGCCCGCGACTCTCCGGTCCTGCGAGTGTTGTTCCACGCGGGCAGCGAAGCCACGGGTCGCCGTCAACTGCTGCTCGGCCGTCACCAGCGAGTCTGCGTTCTGCTCCACGCGACCCCGACGCCCCAGCCGAGCAGCACCGGCAGCAGTCGGGCCACCGACCACGCGGACAATCTCCAGCAGGCCGGGCCCCTCACCGCCGCCTGCAGCCCCGACGGCCAGGATGGCGTCTGCCTCGCCCAGATCACCGTACCGGCCAACTGGTGGCCGCCCCTGCCGCCCCCGGATTCAGCCGGTCGCGTCAAACCGGCCAAGGTGCTTATATAAATATACAATTAAAAACTAGGATCATTACAATTGTTTTTTCTTCCAAGCGCGCTGCGTGCGGTGTTACACACGCTGTATAGTTTTGGGGTACTCGACCTTTTTATTTCCCGTCAAGCGCCAACTTTGCGGGATTCCATTTGGCGCGCTCGGTAATTAGGTCTCCGCTGCCGGCTCCTCCTCGGCTAGAATTTCAATTGACTTTGAGCGCGGGTCCCACCAGCCGCGATGTACACGCAGTGTATAGGTATACTTGTGAGCGCTTGCAAGGAAATTTCATCGGTTGGCACGGACATTTTTTTAATGGCACAATCAACCGGAGCACAACCGCGAACGCTGAACTAAAAGATACGTAAAGGTATAGTTGCCGCTTGAAAAATGCACGGGTCGAATCGATACCCGCACCCGCGGAATATTTGTAGACCACAGGGGAATAGTACTATATGTAATGCGTTCATGCGTGCACCGCCGGCGGCTATATTTTCTGTCTCTCTACGTTTGCATCTGATAAATTAAGCCGTACGGACGCGCTACCGCGACATTTTTCAAAAAAATTCACATTGGACATCCCCCATGGGACATCCGATGTGTATACCGGGGAACGAAGCTAGCATCGATGGCGCGCTTGGTTTTTGTATAATGATGATGATGATTAAAAAAAAAAAAAAAAAAAAAAAAAAACACCAACCATCCCTTTTCAGACTCTTCCGCGGGTCGTGCAGCTGGCGTACTCGGTGTTGGAGCCGCGTAGCGCCGACGAGGCCGGGCAGCAACAACAACCGGGGCACGGGGTATCGCTGGACTCGGCCTCGTACTGCCAGCCCAAGGTGCAGATCCAGCCGGTGACGCCCCTCGGCCAGGTGACCCTAGGCCCGAACCGCGCCACCTACAAGGAGCTCAAGACCGACGAGTACCTCACCCTCCTGGTGCCCCACGGGCCGCTCTACCCCCGCTCACGGCTCCACATACCTGTTTTCCTGCAGTCCCACTCGTCCAAGCAGTCCGGCCAGGGAAGGCCCCCCGTGGCCGCGGTCGTCCTCAGGTTAGTCGTTATACACCTACCTTTTTTTCCTCTTCATTTTGCGCTGAGCGTTTACTTGCTTGGTTGGGAAAACGGGGTGACCTACTTTCAGACCCGACAGCGGAGGTCGCGCCGATAAGTTTAGGGAGGGAGGCTGTCGGGTCAAGGTGACAAAAGGACCAAGTCGAGCGTGAGATATGCGCCGGTTATTTGTTTCGTTTTACTTTGAAACGAAAGGCACGTGTTTGATTGACAAGTTACAAGCGTTTGATGAAACGATTCGAGTCTTTCAGAGATAATTGAGTTTGAAATATAGAGTGCACGACATGTGGATGATGATAAAATGGGCTTTACCCTTTGAAAGAAGAGGATTATGCGTCAATTTGACAAATGGCACTTGATCCGTATCCGGGAAAAAACAACTCCTCTCTGACGCGACATACTTTTGCTAAAACGAGCTCGAAATTTAACTTTATTTTCGAAAAAAAAAAGCTCGCGATTTTTTTTTTTTTTTTTCTACGCGCTGATTTTCACCCGCGCTTGAATCGATTTGCTCCCCTTGATCGCATGTAAATTGCACACCGTAACGCCACGCGTGTGCGCGTAAATTAAGCTCGCATTGTACGTACGGCGCGTATACGAGTATACGTGAAAAAAACGGGCCGATAAAATTCCGGAATTCCAAATTATCAATTAAAATCCGCGGCGCGTTTCCCGCCGTCATTTTTCCGTGCTCGAGGGCATCGGGGTGAAAATTACGCGGCCGCAGCGTTATTTGATTACGAGGGCCACGTTTTAATGGACTCGGGGGCTAATTTCCGTAAAAGCAGCTTACCCCCGAGAATATTGAAGCTGACCTCTTTTTTTCCGGGGGTAAGTACACATAATAGTAGTAGCTTTTGAAGAGCGATTATACAGCGATGATTTTTTTTTTTAAATCCAAGGGCCAAGTTCAAGGCGGGAGTGAAGATCCTGGACGCCTCGTCGAGCAGCCCCGACTGGACGGTCGAGACGGACATAAAGACGAAAAACACCGCGGCCACCTTCACCGCACGGAGAAAGGAAAACGTGTCCCGGCTGCCCAACGCGTGAGTACACAACCGCATCTTCCACCCTCGTCCCCTCCCGTATATATGCCAAGTAAATTTTCATTTGGAGCGCGAAAGCTTGGCAAATCATTCTTTGGAAAGTTTTAATGACATTTTGTTTCCTCAAAACGTACCTGCTTTAAGGGAAAAAAAAAAAAAGGTTGCTTGAATATAGTCAACAAAACGTACAATTTTCCGCGCTCAATACCACGTTTGTCCAAAAGACAACGACGAAGCGTACACCCTGCAGCGGTGTTACACCCGTTCCCACCCTCGTTCGAAAAAACAAAAGATTACAAGGTAGGGAAAAAAAAAAAACGAAATTTCACAGCTCCGCCGAGGAGATAATGACGATGCTGCTCGAGGCGAGCGACGAGAGCGCCGAGAGCAAGGAGCACGGGGGCAGCCGTATCGTGTGGAGCGTGCGGTACGCGTTGGAGGGCGAAGAGGACAACGTCTCGCTCGCGGGGCCCTTCCAGTCCCAACAGACCCACCACCACCATCACCAGCAACCGCAACAGCAACAGTCGCACTATCATCACCACAACAGCGGCGCCGAGCGCAAAAAGCTACAGGCCCATCTCGAGATACAGAAGGACGACATACAGGCTGTGCTGCCCATCTCCAAGGTGGGTTTACTCTCTTTTTACCCCTTTGTTTTTCTCGTTTTCGTAATCAACTGGCGCCAACGCCGCGGTCTCTTTCTTTTTCCCGCTCCGAGAGCGTTACATGGTAATAATAAGCCAATCAACTGCTCGTTTCTTTTTTTTTCTTTTTTTCATTACTTTCTTACCCTCTATGCGTTTAACTTACGTACAAATTATTTTTAGAACTATAATTATTATACGTATAGCGAGTTGCAGCCGCGTCTTGAAACTGATGACGAACATTATTCTATAAGAGCGCGACGCGAAAATTGATGGTAAACATCCCGAGAATATATAATACCAGCACCTCCGTTCGTTGCGAACAATAGCCCGCGCACTTATAATGTGTTAAATACATGAGCGACGAGGCAACTCGAGCTCAAACAGGGGATAAGTACACGGGAACAATGTGTTAATTTTTCCAGAACTGGGAGGTGATGAACACGGCGGTGCTCACGGGAAAGCAAATTTCTCAGGCGATGAAGGTGTTTATCGTCAGCCAGGCGGGCACGGTGGCCGACGTCACGCTCCAATCCTCCTGCCACTCCGACGACGAGAGCGTACTCAAGGTAATTTATTGTTCCCCCGTTATTTATACGGCACAACTCTATATTAATCGTCGTAGATGGGGCCAAAAGTGATTCGCAGATAACTGCTGCCTGAAGCGGGGGAAATAAATCATAAAATTCCTATTCGCTGTTCGCGCGAGCCATTCGTCACTGCGAGGATAAAAAGAAAAAAAAAGAACATCCCCGTGCGATGTTAAAATACCTCTGACCCATCGTTTTCTCACGTACTTCTTTTTGGTCCGTCGCAGGTCTCGTCTTCGTGCAGCAGCGTGTACGTGGACGGCTCCGAGATCCGGGGCTCGAGCAACGCCTCGGTCGTCGTCAAGTACGGGACCTACACGGGCCTGGCGCGCTTCACCGTCTGGATGCCCGAGTTCCCGCTCGAGGTGTCGGTGCCGGACTCCCGGCTCAACCAGATCAAGGCGTGGAAGGTGCCCGACGAGCCCAACCTCGCCAAGAACAAGCGCAGCTTGAACGACAGCCGTCCCGGCCAGGCGAGCAAGAGGAGCCTCGACGCCGCCACTGCTCCTGCCAAGGAACGAGAGGACGAATACGACGACGAGGAAGACGAGGAGGAGGAGGAGGAGACTGCGGGTGTTGAGGGCGAAGAGGACACCGAGGACATTGACGGAGGGAAGATGAGGTTCCGCAGTGGCGAGAAATGGGACGAGATCAACTCCATCGACCGGACGCCCGGCGCGGCTAACTGCCGGCTCAGGTTCCAGCAGAGTCCCGTCGAGGTGACGTTTCCACCCAACTTAACGATTCCATAATTATTTTACAAACATAAATGTAGGTGGGTGGATGAAAAAGAAAAAAAATTCGATCTGTACAGGTGCACGCGCGCTTCCTCGCCGTGGACCACGACTCGGGCCGGGTCTCGTACTTTGTGAACCGGCGCACCTGGCTGCGCATCACCGATCTCGTGGGTAGTCTGCTCCGCGTCTCGGACCCGAGAATCGCCGCCCTCATCCAGGGCCGGATCGTCCAGGGGCGGGGTATAGGGCGCACGGAGGTGCAGGTGCTGTCGCCCATCACGGGCCGCGTGATCGGCGCCAAGGAGGTCAGGGTTGGCAACGACCGCGTCTCCATATCCCAGCTGTCGGTCAAGGTCGTCTCGGGACTCCAGCTGACCATCAACCCGGATAACGCCATTGAGAACGGTTACGTCGCCGAGACGTCCGTCACGCGAAAGCTGACGGCTCAGTACCAGGAGGGCCTGCTCGACATAGACCTCGAATTCTCGGACGGCTCGAGGACGCCGCTCCGAGAGATAGCCGTGAGTCTCGACTACACTTGAGTTTTTTTTGTCCACTCTTTTCCTCTCTCTCTCTGCATCGATGTTTTATCGTGCGTGCCACAGGTGAGCGACTACAAGCTGGTCGTTGAGGACCTGGACCCGGACATCGTGGCGTTCGCCCCCATGGTGGCCTCGCACCATCCCCGTGTGATCGCGGTGGGCGAGGGCAGCGGTGACCTACTGCGCGTCAGTATCCAGTTGGCCGACGCGTGTCGCCTTCAAACCGGACGCCGGGGTTCCAAGTCACAGGTGGCCCGGGGCGCAGGTGTCTCGGTTGCCTCGCAGACGCCGGCCCTGCCCCTCGCCACAGCCACTGCCAGCGTCGAGGTGGACTTTGCGTCGAGCGAACTCTCCAGTCGGCCCGAGTTCGTGCAGAACGACGGGGGTGGCGCAGGTGGCCTCGGACTCAGCGCCCACCACCGTGAGCGCAAGAACGGCCGCGACATGGCGCCCGATCTCCACGACATTTTGATCGGTAAGAAACGCTTTTCGCCCAACATGTGCTCATTGCGTGTATGTATTTGTAAGTATATGCCAATGTCCGCGACAGCTTTGGTAATTACCTCCTTCGGCATTGCATCTCCTTGTATGTGTTATCATAATGAATGCCGTTACGCACGAGCTAAAGGTGACATGCACGCAGTATCCTTATACTTATGTAATGTGTATATTGCACAACATCGATGGCACCGCTCTTACTGTTTGTTATCAATGATGTATCCATACATGATTCACGAAAACACCAAATCATTCGTTCGTTCATTCGTTCATTAATCAGTGCGTAAAAATCGGGTTGATAGCCGCGAAACTTGCAGGAGGTATCGGCGGCGTGGGTATCCGGCACAGCAACGCGGCCCGCATCTCGCCCCTCGAGATCGGCATGTACGTCCTGCTGGTGGCCTTTTGCCTGGCTATCGTCGTCTTTGTGATCTCGTGCGTCGTCTTTTCCGGGAAGTTCAAGCCCCTGCCCGGACTGGAATCGACCTCGACAACTTCGGGTCTTGGCGCTGGTCTCCCGGTACTCGGGGCCGCCCGAGCTGCCGCTAGTCAATTCGGACAGAACAGGAACAGGCCCAGGGAATCGACGACCAACGCTCACGACTGGGTGTGGCTCGGGAGGGCCACTCTCGAGCGCGCCGCCTGCGCGCCTCAGCAGGTACGCTGGTTTTTCTTTTTTTAAACTCAAAGTCGCTTATTATTTTATCGCCTGTTGATGGATTTGAATTCCGGAATTGTCCGATTTTTTTTTTTTTTATTTTTAATTAAAAGCAACAATGAACTTCAAACAATTTGCCGGGAGCTGTTAAAACGTATTTTCACCGAAGCGGAAAATTATTATGGATAAACGTTATCACAAAGGATGTACCAAAAGCCGAGAATTTTCAATTTCCACCGATCAATTTATATAATGTGGGAACAGCGGGAATTCCGAGGGTAAAAGTTATAAGCTTCGGACGAAAGTTTGTAATAGTTTCGCGTCTCGTTATTAAACATTTTAACGGATCAAACTTGTTGGAGGGCTTTTAATCGTCGCGCACTGAAAATTTCTAACGAAGGGGGGAGGCTATGTTATGGTTAATCCCTTTTTCGATCAAACCACAATCACCCGGCCAAGCCTCCAACTTTGGCCTGTGAAACGGTTGCGCGGGTACATGAAAAGGGAAAAGAAAAAGAAAAATCCTCGGATAATCTGTTGAAGAAGGTCCGCGTGACGAGCAACCCGCTGGCAGTGGAGGCCGAGGACGAGACTCTAGATCTCGGCACGAGCTTCGACAACCCGAACCACTTGGAGCTGCCGTCGACGGGCCGAGCCTTGGGAGCATCGTCGCAGTCCGGGGCCATCGACACCACGACCTACTGCAAGCGTGACCGCACGCCTAGGAGTTTCAACAAACCCTCGGCTCACCAACGGAACGAGTGAGTGTGGCCGCAAATCAGCTTGTTACCTCCCTTCCTCCCTCTCTTCGTACCAGTGTCGTAAGTTAACTAAAATCCAACGCCGTGTATAGCAACGAGAAATCACCGGGGCACAAGGTACCCCTGATGTCGAGCGTCGACAACGGGAACGAGGACTACAAGCCACCGGTGCCGCCCCACCGCAGCACAGCGGCCCTGGGCATCACTCGGTTGCCGGACACACCAAGGCGACGCCACCATCACCAGCGAACCAACAGCAGCGGCGAGCACGCGGGCAGACGAGGGCACGAAGCGGCGGCTGCGTCCGGTAGCAAACACCACCATCACCACAGACCGAGCAAGTCGAGCCGGTCCAGGAGCAGCAACAGCAACGCCTCGCCGCTGATGCACAGCAAACCCGAACCGGTCAAGGAAGCCACCGCTGCTGCTGCGGCCGCCAACAGCTCGGATCTCGCGTTTGTCGAGGTGAGTTGCAACCAAACGGTTTTCCATCCCAAATACATACATTAGACCGTGTTAACACGTGTTTCACGACAGGTGCGGAGCAGGGATCCAGAAGCGGCGCGTAGCCGAAGGGCTCGCTCGCGGGAGATTAAGCGTGCGACGGTAGTCGGTAATCCGATGTTCTCATCCTCGTCGTCGTCCAATTCTTCGGGCTCGCCGACCCACGGCGAGCAACTCCAGCAGCTGCTGGACGAGCCCCCGCACAGCAATCACCAGGTGCCGACAGTAGCGGCAACGGCCTCCTCCTCCTCGACCACTGCCGGTCTCGACGACTTGAACCTTGGCATGGACTACAACCAGATCATGCAGTACTTTGACAATTTGAAGGAGTCGAACGCCTAGGAGTGGGCCGATTGCCGCCGCTACCGTCGCAAGCGCAGCAAGTTGCGCTTGAACATCGGTAGCAGCGGCAGCAGCAGTGCCAGCAACGCAAGTCACAGCAGCAGCAACAGCAACAACAACAACAACAATGGTGGTGGCGGTACTTCGATAATGGTGATCCTCTAAGGAGGCTTTTCCGTGATACACGGTGCATGGCAATATTTTGGCGAGACCGCAGCTGCGTATAGACTCGTTGGGCACGCCGTCGGTTGTATACTCTGGAGTTTTCGTCCTTTGGTTCGACTGAGCTATTCACCTATAATTAGTGTAGCTTTTCGATGAATATGGCAAATCTATAATATATACACGCATGTACTACGATGTTACGGCCGCTTGAATGGTATAATGTGAAAAAAAATTTTCTATAAGCCTGAAGCACTCGTCTGTTGGCTCGTGTATCCAGTTTTCCTGGGACAAGGAACGACGATTTTCTTGCGGATTCGCCACTGCAGTAGAGAGTGCCGGCCACAAAATGACGACGAACGTGAGAGCAATAAAAAAAAAAAATGTCAAAGAGGTCCAAGCGAGTCTGTATAAGTATATATGAGTGCGTTTGTTGCGGCGGTGTGTTATTATTATTATTATTATTATTATTATTATTATTATTATTATTATTATTATTATTACCAT